GTACGGAGGTCCCGAGGATTTCGGTTGTCCCCCAGATGAACGGTACGGTGGTCGGCGTGAAAATTACGGTGGGCCGATGGAGCCGCGTCGCACTCCTGGACCTAGAGGTAACCCACCTTTGCTTATTTATAACCACCCCTTATTAGCTGACGATGGATATGAAGACTACGGCGAAAGGGAAGAGTACTACTGGTGAAACTGCATTTCTTTTTATAAATAAACGTTTTTACCTAACAATTAGTTATCACCAGCTGCGTTTGAGAAAGACTTGGGCTATGAAGAATGAGTGTCTTTCAAAGAAATGACGAAAATCACATGGGTTATCACAGGGAGGACACTTTGGCCTTGGGGAAATCAGGGTTTAAACGACTTCGCAACCCCCTTCGTCCGCTGGAGGTGCTCCTCGGCGTCACTTGCGCTGGTGGCCTTCACCTCGATAGTCAGCGATCCAGTAGCATCCTAAAGTATTCCAAGCGGTTAGACTCTGCTGGCAAAATGTGGACGAGTGTAAACCGGCCATGAACCTGGCTTACCGAGAGTTTTAGGAGGAGGCACGTCGGTTCGCCTCGCGATCCAGAGTAGACTGATGCGTTCAGGCCCACACGCTCAACAACTATAAATGGTAAGGGAACTAATTAATTCCTGCACCCCTGGAGTGGGCATGCTATAGTGGCCGGGGGGGGGAAGTAAGGGGGTTACTAACATCCACTCAGTACAGGCTGGACGGCTGCCTTCGTCACGTACCTTGAAACTGCTCCCGCTGGATTCTGTCGAGCAGTTCTTCGAAGACGGGTTGCAAGGGGATTTCGTTGGCGATCGCCTGGGCGGCCGCTGGGCACCGCACTTTAGCTCTAGCTGAGTTGGTCAGTCTACCTGGGGTGCCAGATAGCAGTTGCAGGAATTCCCTCTCACTGATGGGTCCCGTGCCGTTTCGCTTGGGCTGGCTGTGTCGTGGGGGCTTCACACGGGAGTTGCGCAGACGAGAACCAACGTCCTCATCCTGCACGAAAGCGAGGGGGGGGGAGCGAGGAGTTAGTGACCACAGCGAAAATATCCAAAACGATTGGAAGCCACGGTAGGGCTTGCCTATTACGGTCGGGGTCGTCACTAGGAGCTTAGACCGGGTGGGCTGCCTAGGTGGGCATTGGCCGACCACGGGGCAGGCGCCCCGTTAGGCCTCGTAAGACTGAGCGAGGAGTATACGCGCGAAGTGGGGCGCGCATGAAATAGTCGCAGTCGAGGGAGCGGGGGGGATAGCTACTAAGGCCCGGCATCCACCTCTTATCATTGGCGAGAAGGGTGATTGGCACCAAACGGCCTGGCACACTTCCGAGTCTACGTATGCGTTGACTACCGGCAGGGGGGGGGGGTAGGCAATTAGTGGACCAGGTGTATCCCGCATGGGGGGTGTGGGCTTTAAGCGAACCCAGCTGGGTAGGTGGCACTGAGGAAGCGGGGTTAACTCCTACACTGGCCTGCCGTTGGACTTAACAGTTCGACTGGGATTGGGGCATTTGTGGAGGCGCAGAGCCTGTTGGGGGCCATAAGACTGGAGTCGCGTCGGAATGCCGCTTATCGCTATTAGGCCTTTGGCGGATCAGGCGTGCCTCGCGTTTCAAGAGGCCGCATATCTGAAGACCAGCACGGATGTTAAAAAAGAGGGCTGGGTGACCCTGCATCGTGTACATACCAGATTGACGGTCGGCGGGGTAACAGAAGCTAGCTCATCGCTGGTTGTCTCCGCTGTCCGAGTCTTGGACGTCGTTCGTTTTCCACTCGACAAACTTGGCCTGTCCGAGTCCAGAACCATGTACTCGTCGTGTTTAGCCCCTCCCCCTGCGGTTGAGGTGGCAGACGACCGCTTGGGAGTTCTGTGTTTCCCGTTTCGCACCTCCTGAGCAGAAAAGACGAGGTGAAAAAAGGTGACACGGAAACGTAGGATAGCGTCAGTTTTGTTATTACTCCACAGTCTCTTGTTATAGCTCACAGAGCCGAAGCCAACATGCAGAGTAAATCGCCATATGGCACAATGAGGTAAAGTTGAGGAACACGTAGGGAGCGCGAACCAAGGGAAGCGCGCGCATGACGCCAGCACGTCTCCACCTCAGCTGAGCCCATTGAGTCGGTAGCGATGGCGACCGACACGGGATTACAGCTCCAAGGCGGCCCAGTTTTATTAACAGAGTTGAGCAGTAGGCGACCTTTGGGCGTGATAAAGACGTGACCATATCAAGAGTGTTCTTACGGGCTAGTTATTTGGTTGAGGGAGCACGCGTGTGCCGTGCCAGTCCATACACCATGTCGTCAAAACCAACAGGAATTTGCAGTTCCTGTCAGTGCATCGGTGTCGTTGGGGCTAAAGTTGTATAGGCGTCTCAAACCATACCACTACCAATTCCCACATTCGCCGAGTTGCGATAATCCGGAACATGCAGGGACGAGGGGATGGCGGAGGGCCCTACGTAGAATCAGGCCAATTAAGGACCATTAAGGCTGAAAATCATGCAGCACCAACCTTGCCATGATTGGCTGGGTCACCAAACATCTTCAGGACGAAAATCCCAAGGGATAGCGTGGCATTCTGGATATTCGCAGGTGTGCGAGTGACTTTCGCCGGCGCGACTAAATGGTGAGGCAGGATTAGGTCGATCAGATTTCCCATTAATAACACTGTTAATAATCGAAGCCTCACACGCCGCTGCACCGTGCACTTTGCTGACGAGACTTAGAGCCGCACTCCTTTCAACTTTTTAATCCTCTGTCTGCATCAGAAAAGAAATTCAAGTACCCTTCCAGGTTGTACAGCTTCGCAGAGGGTTTCAGTAAAACCGCCCCGATAATTCATCCTCTGAGCCCTTCAAGGATAACCACTACTCCGGAGTGATGGTAACCTACACATTAACTACATGATAATAAGGGAGGTGTACGCAATATCGACCTTTGCGTGCTTCATTTATAAGACGTGGCCGAGACGTAGACCCAGTGACTGCCTAGAGATCAAGCCTCAGTCTACATGTACCGGCCTCGAATCCGACACAAACAAGACTTCGTCAACGTGGGAATCACACCGGTGAGCGTTGCCATGAGGCCATCTGAGGGAGCCATCCAAGTAGCTCTGGGGCCCCGGGAACGAGTTATTTCGTCACGTGGCAGGCTTTCAGGCCGCAACATTCAGAGCGTCGAGATAACCCCGGACTGCAAAGGCATTACTTGCCAGTATACGGAAACGTCGCACAGAATCGAATCACTTTTCACTCCTCTCACAGCACGTCTCCGTGACAAGACAGAGCCAAGCTGACCGGAAATAAAGTCTAGCGTTTTATACAGCCCGATATCATGCCAGTCGAACATGTGTCTAGTCCTGGCTTAGGTGCGATGTAACAGTGCCGCGAGTCCTAGGGATTTATAGATCTTCTCTGAAAACTGTCGCCAACGCCGAAGTATAGTTTTTGGGAGCACACATTACAGTCTTATACCCCTCTCACCGCTCCCACCAGACAATGAACAAAAGCACGAGAAGAACAAGTGCAGAAGGGACCTGCTTAGAGGAGACGACGGCAGAGGTCCCCTTCGTTTTCCGTAAAGCATTCTTTTTTACAGGCGATTTCTTCATAGAAGGCAGCTCAGGTTCTGGTGGGATATCCAACTTGATATTGAGAAGTCGGTGGGGATCATTCGGGTCGAGTTCGTCGGGGGAGTCCAGCTCATGCAGAGTGACGCCCTAAAAGAGAGATGGCAAACAGAACAAAGTAATTCAGATCAACAGAACACAACTCATATTCACAGATGCTGCTTCCCGTCTGGGACAACCGGAATACCATGTAGCGTGGGTCATGCCTGTCAAATTGGCCGAGCAACCGATCGCGTTCGGAGGTGGTAGATAGTGGAACGGCCGACGTTAAAGGCTAGCTGGAAGATAAGCCTAGGCTCTTGCAGCTGAAGAATAATCTGTCATAAATAATGCAACGGGGACATCTTCAGGCGTGGCTGCGCATCGATCCAGCAGGTCGATCAACTATAAACAGGCACGATTAAAAACAACATTGCGAGGTAGTTAACTAGGGCTTCACCCACCGTTAGGCACAGTCCTGGAATTTTAAAGGTAAGGGGGCGAATCTAAAAGCACAGAAATCATTCCGTCTGCTAATCACAGCCTAACAGGGCAATCAAAAAAGAACACAGGGTCCACGCCCTTCGGTTGTACGCGTCCACAGCCAGTGTCACCGGGCGAAGTAATTCCCCTCCAACGGCAGCACTGAGTGGCTGATGACTGGTAGAAATAAGCGGAGAAAGGATTGCTTGTAGAATTTTCGAGCTAGACGGAAAAGACGTAGTGGCTGTAGTCGAAGTTTAGTGCTCAGTTCAGCGGAACTGTGGTCGGGAATAATCACAGCTGCAGTCAGTGACTGATCTCATGTAACGTCAACTGAAATTCTGAGGTACCGTAAGAAGCCCATGGAATGTTGCAGCGGACGTGGACTACGTTGTATACTCACTGAGGAACATTATTAAACAGGCAGATATAACGCCATTCGAATGGACATTGGACGGTCTTAAGAATTTTTGCTTTGTAATTTCCTTAGACATTAACTGCAAACTTGGAGTAGATCAGTATATTTAAGGTCTATAGGCTCAGACCAAAGTTTTCATGGCTACTACCTGTGCCGTTAGTATGGAGTCACCTTACCCTGAGGGTCTTAAGAATCTCATAATTAGAGACTGTTGAAGCCGAAAGATACGCCTTCCTCAAGTATAAAATTTGAAGACATGATTTTCTGCCAAGCGGGCACAAAAAGAAAATATTTATACACATTTTCTGCAAAAGAGTACTGAATGTATAAGGGCAAAATCGACGGAGAAAATGCACACTACTTAAGTAGTCATTTTTTATCGAGTAAGGTTTCCACAGGCGGCCGAAAAAGTACACTCAAGAGCCAACTCCCTGACGCGTCCGAAATATTACGGAATTACGTCGTAGGATAACCAATATTACAGTCCCACTTGATTAATCCATCCTAGTCGAGAACGTATCTCAGAATCACGGTTAACATTTCATGCGATCGGTCATTGACTGTCCCCCCGATCCGGCAGCAGACACCGTCAGTCCAATGGATGAAATAAATCTGGACAAGGAATACGGCCAAATGTGTTCAATCGGAAAGACGTCTTCTAAATAGCCCATGTCTTTGGTGGCTCGGGCCACCAAGAGCCGACGGAGAGCATGCCGGACAGCCTCTCCTTCACGCCAGACTTTAAGGGGGATGGGGCGTACAGAGGAGGTTGAGAAAAAGACAAGCGTCGGCCCAAGGGCCATCCAAGATTAGGGGAGGAAGTCGTTCCTTAACAGAAACGAAGGACCGCGAATAGCCAAGTGTAACCTCACCTCAGGCAGGTCCAACACTGTACTAACTTGCACAGTCGATGGCAGATCAGCGTCTTCATCAGCTAGATCGGTAGGCAAGTTGTTTGCGCGGCGCGATCCGTCCTTGTTCCGTTGGCTAAAAACGGTAGTAACAAGTGGTAAGGGCGGCCATGCCTCACCAGTATGCTAGCCTGTCAGTGTGTGGAAGAGGTCGCCGCCTTTCAGGAGAGACGCAAGAATAAAGGAGTAGGAAGGCGACTGCACGTACCCGGAACTCTTAGTTTTCTTCGTTTCCAAACGCTTGAATTGCTTCTGCATTTCCATCGCCAGTCTGTCGGAACTGATGAGCCTTGGCACTGTCGAGGGCGTGGGCAGAAAAAAGACGTATAAGGGGTTTAGAAAGAAGCGCACCACTTCGTCAGTAAGTAATCACATACTCAGAAACCTAGGAGAATTAATGCACGAGGTGCCGTATTTAGTGACTATAGGGTGCATCGAACCATGGAGTGTGTGTGCCCAGTACTAGCAGTTAGGTGTGGTCAAAAATGGAAGCGGGGTGGTCAGGTGTGGTTCAAAAGGAATTAGAACTTCCTACAGTTAATCTCTTAGCGCTACTGGCAATACATCGAAGTGACTACCGATCTACAGACACCTAAAATGTCCCTAACAAAAGCCACAAGTAGGATAATGACAAGGGAACACAGAGCGAATACCGCTGCGAGTCGGCATGGGTGACTCAGTAGAATCGGGCGAGGGTGCCGGATCCGTGGTAGAGGAGAGGCTCTGGCTACTGTCCTTGCTCTTCAGGTAGTGCGGATTGGCTTCCTGCATTTGGAGACGTTCTTTGCGAAGCTGGACACAGAATGGCAGAAAGACTGTTTCGGAGCTCGGCAAAAAATGACAAGTTACAACCTCGGGGCGGAGAAGAACCAAAACTGCAGAATCGGGGGTGCGGGAGCGTAGACTATGACTTTAAACCCAAAAAAGCAAAAAAAGGAATCCGGAGTCATCGCATCATGACACAAACTACATGTAATTGGAGACACCTAAAAAAATCCCTACGGCCCAGCGACGTGGGTTAAGAGGCCGGAGCAGGCGATACTGCCCATACCGCTCGATGGACAGTTTAGTGACGCACTGCAATTCTGCAACTGTTGCTTCACTGGCTGGCAGTCTGAAGTCGAAACTACCAGTTGTAATAGCTCGAACCCATGTGGTCCCATGTTAATTTTTTGAAAAGGAGCCTGATGAGGATGCTGATGCAACTATTGCAGTTAGAGATTGCTCAGATGAGCATTAGACAATCCAGACGAGATGATATAGGGGCCTCTGGCTGCGTGATGGTGTACTTTCTCCGCGGCACTAAGCAGCAGCAGTACGAGTGTATCAATGAGAAGGAAGTGGAGACGTTGATTGCATCGCTCTGTGCCGGCTATCCAGGTCAGCGCTCCCGCCTGTTTTTTTTTGTTATCTAAGGATATGAAGTTGACCTGTTACTTGCGACGGGGACACTTACTTGATGATGACGGTGATGGTGACGGCGAGATAAGCCTCTGGTAGTGATGGTTTTGCCCCTAAAAGGGTCCATTTGGTGAATACGATGGCCAACACTGGAGCTAGATTGGAGTCCGGCAAGCGCTATTGGAAATGCGCGTCCACATAACAAATGCTAACATTAAGGTGTGGCGGCACGCCCAGATGCAGACTCATGCCGCGCCCATTCGGATACGTACCGCCTCCCCGTTTTCCTAGTGTATAAAATCCTGATCAGTGCCTGTTGTGGACCAGAGGGTGTGGTGTTACTCCTAGGTGCGGGCTTCCGTCGAGCTAACTATCCGCGTCCTCTCCCGCCTACGGTCTTCTTGACTCTGTTTTAGTACCGGACCAAGGTGGGGGAGGAGAGAGTGCGGCAGATGCAAAAAGGGGTGCATTCAAAAGCCAACATTCTGGAGTGTCTGAAATTCGTCACAAGATAATGAATATTACAACTCCCCTTAACTAATCCTTCCCAATCGAAGACGTCTTTCATAATTCCAGCCATCCAAATATATAACACGCAAACATCCAAAGGGCGATTGTGCACACAGGGTCATGAGGTGGACGCTTACCCTTTCGAGATCGACCTCAGATAGCTCAAGCTTGGGTTTGCTCTCCGACTCAATGAGTCCACCGAATATGGCGTTGCCCGTGTTCTTTGCTGACAATGGAAAATCACCCTTCGTTCGCGTTTTGCCCTATTGACGAAAGTGCGAGAGACAAGAATTCAGTGGGACAGAAACGACAAAGGACAAAAGTCAACTGGGTAAACGAAATTAAAAAAACGGCTATTAAGCGTGTCGACATGACCAGTAGCAGAAAAGAGTAAGTTCTACAGAGGAATAGGTCAGGCGGATGTATAGATCATCAATCCTTTGTTGCCTCTTACCTATTCGTGACAATTGATGACGCCATCTCCCGCCATTGTAAATTCTCTAACAGCTCCGGATATTCGTGCTCGCCGTGACTGTCAGTTTATCACAGTTATGGCGTCTGTACGCATTGACCTGAGCCGATAGCCCCGCCTGTTGTCTGTACTGGGGTTGGGTCGGCAATCAAATGAGCTGCCTACTCTGCTAGTGTTTTTTGGGTCAACCGTGGTCTTATTTTCGACAACTTGAACCGCTCTGATACGATGGTTAGTGTCTGCAGAAGTACCTTCTCCCCCAGAAACGCATGATCGATCGATCGGCCTCGCACGAACAACGGATTTAGCATAACTTTTCGAACTCACACGACCTGCCGAAGAAGCAGTGATTGTCTGACTGACGGGGATTCGCGACCGGAAACCTGCATTCATTGACGCGCGAACAAAATTTAGCTTATGATGTGTTCTGCAGCCTTGGCTTAAATAGCACAGGAAACTCCGGTTAAAAGGTCTACAGTTGGCTAAAAGTTTTGGATTCTCTGGGAGCCCGACCAAATTATCCCGAATTAAAATGAATCAAACACCGGTTGGGAGCTTCCTCAACGTCGGAGTCCCCTTCCCATTCTTGTTTCTGTTTTTGAGATATCCTCCGGAGGCCTCCAGGCAATGGTTAGTCCCAAAGCAGTTCGTCTAAAACAATGGTGTCATGTGCGGTAGTGGACGTTGCCGCATCTTTTCTCCCGTCAGCTAGCGATTACTATCACTGGACTTTCGGATCTGGTCAATAAGGGAAGTTGAGGCAGTTACCGTTAAACCTTCCCCTGGTATACGGCTTGTGAAAGGACGAGTGGCCAGAATGAGTGAACGTCCCCGTAGACGAATCAGCACACAGCAAATGAACGATGGACGGTCAAAATAACGTTATCGGGCCTCCTCCCTTAGACCATCAACCGCAGGGCTGTACCGTCGGATGACGCCTAGCTACCAGCATCGGTCTTTGGCTGGCGTGCTCGACTGGCCACGTGAATTGCAACGCTGGTTACGAGACCATGCAAAACACTTGGCTGTATTTCCAACCAGCAGACCGTCTTCTTGTCCGTTCACGAGTAAGGCTATTATCTCTCTCGTCCCCCCGCCCTGTCTCCCTGACTCCAGACAATCGCCGGCCTAAGTAGATGGAGTGTTGGCGCAGTTAATGTTTCCTGCGTTTTGGATACATAAAAGTCTTGGAGACTTTACGCCAACGTTGACAAGCTCATGTGATGTTCCACGACGAAATCCGATTGTGGTGAAAGACAGTCGACTGAACACTCGAAAGTGAGGAGGAAAGAGGTACAGTTTAGAGGTGTATTTCTTCAGTTCAGACTGCCTCTTTGCCCTCAACACGGCAAGAAAACGATAAAAGCAAACCGCTATCTCAGATAGGGTGTGAAAATATGAGCTGGAAGTGGACGCGAACAAACCTTTGCCGACGGTGAGGACTTCAGCGAACTGGGCGGGTTCACAGCTGGAGCCGGCGGCGGTGGTGGCTCGTTGATCCAGGCGTCCAGATCGAGGCCCTCAGGCACTGGAACCTTGCGCTGGGCCTTGGCGGCCACGGGGTTCAGCTCGCCGGCGAAGAGCAGGCAGAGTTCGGCCACGAGGGCATGCAGGGCTGACAGTGCGTTCACGTGAGCGTTGGACGGCAGTGTCCCTGGAAGAGACCATATTGAGTCCATAAAAGTTTGCAGTGGATGCAGACTACGTTGTATATTTCGTAAGGAGCATTGGTGAACGGGCGTGTGCGATGCTGCATGTACGGACATCGTACGGTCTTAAAAATCGCATTATTAGAAACTTTGTTGAAACCAAAATATATTCTTTCTTCGAGTATAAACTGTGTACTTGTACTTGATACGGCTGCGATCATGCCTGATCTAGCCGGCCTCGATGATGTCCAAAAGCTGCTCCCCGACCGGGAGTGTATAAACTGTGAAAACAATGTGGATCGGCTATCAAAAGAGTAAAAGAAAGAACATCTTGTGCATGTTTTCTATAAAACATATTCGAATTTATAAGACCATCGAGAATCAATGCGAAAAGTGCATGCTACTTAAGTAGCCATTTTTTTACCGAGTGTGGTCTATGCAGGTCGAAAAGAAGTGCATTCGAAAACCGACATCCTGCCGATTCCGAAATACTACAGAATTATGCCGGAAGATAATCAGTATCAAAACCCTACCTAAGTTATCCGTCCTAATCGAAAACGCATTTCAGAATTTCGGCCAACATTTTACGAGATCAGTCACTCACTGAAGACAGCAACCCCCCTCCCCTTCCCCCAATGGAGGATTGTCCAAGGTGCATTATATAAGTCAACTGCATTGCAGTCGACGGAGTCCTAAGTTCTAGGCCTGTGAGGTCTGAAACTCTGACCCCGGATAGCACAGCTAAGACTCTATAGTGAAGAGAGAGTTGACAGCCGTGGAACAGGTGCACATTTCTTAAAAATAGTCTACGCCTAACTCGAGTTGAAGAAAAGTTGCAAAAACCGTAACTGACAGACCATATTCAGACATCTTGTGTCGACAATAGAGGTAATCAGATAGGGAATGACGTCAGGGAGGCGAAGCACGTCCAAGCCACCTAGGCATGCTCGTTTGGAATTGGAGAGCATGGAAGCACAGTCGGGCCCTGACCGAGTACTCTCTCCAACGGACTGCCTGCCAGGCGAGTCGCCGGCTACCCAGCGCGTCCACGGGATGCGCATAGTGGAACGGCCTTCAGCGAAGGTTAGCTGTAAAGGATGCAGGGCTTTAGGACCCAACGAATAAACAGTCGCAGGCCAACAGCGACGTGGCTACCGGGGGCGCGGATGGCTGAGATCTGGCACGGCGACTGCTGCAGAGCGGACGACGGTACTGCGACGTGGCATCCGTAAGCCGCCATCACAAAAGTTTGCTTGCCACCACTGCCTTGTGATTTGGCTCTTGAGCCAAAGCGTCAGGGGAAACAACCTCGAACAAACACTCCGAGCGGCTTTTCGGGATCCGCCTCCACTCAAAATCCCCAACAAACTGTCCGAAAAAAAAGTTACAAGGCTTGGATAGGCGGTCTCTATAAGAACAGCGGAATTCGTCGGAAAGGCAGTCCGGCGAAGACTAGCGATGTCGGCATCGCTCAGCCTCAAGTAGTCAGTCGCCCGGAAGAGCAAAAACGTGATTCCAGGGTTGCGGTGTAACGAGTCAAAGCACTAACACGATTTCGAAAGGAAGCATTTGTAACATGGTGGGGAGGGAGGGGGGTGGGGGTAAGGACCTTGATTAAAGGGAGACGAGGGACGAAGCCTGACCTGGTTCTGAAACGTCCTTCATTTCGTTCGTACTGCCGAAGACAGTGGAGACATTCAAATCTCCCGCAGGTGGTTGTGGACCCTCGTCACCGAGAGAGAGCAGATCGAAGGCAGGTGCAGTGCTGGTGGCGACAATGTCTACTGCGGGCTTCTCTGTCTCTACAGCAGGAGCACAGACCTGCATGCGCAGTTTGCTTAGCCTTTTGGCCACAAGACGCAACAACTGATGAATTGAGACGGCCTAGAGGGGATAAAGTGAAATGTGGCCAAAATAAAATCAGCAGAGGAGGGGAAGGGGGGAAGTCTAACGAAAACGCCTAGAACAAAACACAAGAGTTCGAAAACGGCTGCTCTACCTGATGCAGCAACCCCGCTAGGATACCTGGGGTGACAGAAAGTAGAGTTTCATAAGCAGGAGATGGGGGTGGGGGGGAGAGCGAAGCAAAAAGAAGCCGAGTTGGGCAGAAGAAAGTCTTTAGACGCAAACCTTGGCACAAACAGCCGCAAACTAGCCCACATGAATATTACTAACCCCGTTTAAGTTATCGTCGACATCTCCAAGACTCAGTTCATTCTGGTGAGCGGTCTTTTTGACGTGATAAACAAAACCCCTTTTTGCTCTACCACCGTTTGGTGATCTGCTACGGACTTGTTCTGTACCTTCCCTGCACTGCAGCGGTGGAGCACTTGAAGCTGGAGACGCGAGGTCGAAAGACAAATGAGACTTCATCCAGATAAAAAATAGGAATTCACACAAGGCAGTCAAAGTGGCCTGCGGGGCAAACGTGTTATCAAGGATGAAAAAGTAAACACGTTGACGCGTGCGATGCGCAATTCGCGGCTTGAACTGCTCTGACCAATAGGTGGTGGTCGCAATTCAACAGTCCCCTTTCTGTCCTAAATGCTGACGCCATATTCTGTAAAATCACGTGGACGCAGCACTAGTCGATCTGCCCTGACCACAGGAGGGAATGGCAGGACTCCGATTTATCCTGGAGCTCCTTACAGGCGGTCAAGACTCAGGTCATGCAAACCAGAAGTTGGGGTTATGCATGGTTGACGATGGAAATTAGGCCAGAAACGGCTACTCCAGTCTCTCTGGTGTTGACCGCGCGGCCATATTTGACAGCCTCTGGGGAGGGGGCTGTAGACGAGGGGGCTCCAGGACAATCGGTGGCGAGCGTCGTGAATAGTGCCTCGGTGTAGGAGGATCGCCTACACCACAGCGAAGTGCCCGGGAACATTTTCCGCAAGTGCCTCATGAGATATGGTTGGTGTGGCCTGCGCCGACAGAGAGGAAATAATTTCGGCGTTTGGATTTTGTAGAAGATGGAAACACAAGGTCTTGATCGAGCGCAAATGTGCTCGGATGCACCCCGATGGACGGAAGAGGTCTGGCTTGGACTAGTCCACACACCTGTCTCCTTACTCTATTGGCATTGTAAAGTCGCACCAATACCTGCTCACCTTGATGGAAAGACCTGTGACGAAATGCGGGAATCTGTACACAGATGGGATTTGAAAGTCTGCTGTTCAGTGACGGGAAGCTGATGGAACGCTGATTGTGCAACAATCGCGGTACGACTTTGAAAATTAGTCAGGAAACAGCCTCATAATAGTCCCGTTTACATTTAATTTAGGTTACGGAAGATGTCTTGTAAATCCGACGCATTCCTTTTTGTTGAAGAAGATTGTGTAACCGTAGAAAAACAAAGTGGCTAGGTTTGCATTCGAAGGCGGTTGCGATGAGCGAGTTCTGCTAGACAGACGCGCTGTGCAACGTCGCGATTAGGAACAGGGTTTGGCTAAGCTAGAGGATGGCTGTGGGTTCTCTCTTGCGGATGCGATCACAAAGGCATCTAAGATCCAGCTACGAACGGGTGGTCTGCCGTCCATCAGACACGACGATCTACTAGATGAAAAATGGGCTTTGAAAGTTCGGAAACCGGGGCAAACTTCAGTTTTCTACCTTCAGGCATCTTACTATACGCATTCCCAAATCGTACATGACAGCCAATGAATAGATTAACACTACAGCCAAAGACAAGGGGACTTGAATGGCCATTTCTGGTTTATAGGTCGTCATCAGACAGCCATACCCGAACCCAATGTTTTGCAACCCCTGGGGCTCGATCATGCGACCTGTTGGTTAGAAGTCCAACGGCCTAACCACTATGCAACGGGTCCATCGTCCAGTCGGTTGCGATCGGGTGGATACAGTCGTAGAGAGGCGCTGACCGGTAGCGTCACGGGTTACACTCGTCCCGTGAAGAGTTTTCAAAGAAAGGAGAAATACGTAACCAACGAACTGTCACCCCAACCGTGAACACAGACATCCCATTATTCTGGGAAAGGAGCACTTTTACTGCGAGGATTGCAGATTTCAAAATTCTGAGATTCTTGCAATGCTCCGAGCAGGAAACACCAAACCTACATGGAGTCAAAACAAACTCAAAATGAGATAAAGTCTCACTAATCAAAGGGACTTTATGTATTTGTGTAGGAGAGGATAACCAAAGCGCGTCAAGGAAGGTATAACGTACTCTCTCTTGCACCTCCAGATCAGCGGAATGTACAAATAAGGCCATCTTCTCCATCAGACCATTGGTCAGGTCAAGAAAGCGATCAAGCAGACCAGGTACATCAACAGCTTCCACGGCGGAGGTCTCCAGGTTGAAGGGCTCGTCACCATGGAAGTCATC